ATACTGTTCCTGTTTCACGGCTCATGTCCAGGGAGAAATTTTCTTATATTTTTGATTTTATTTAGCACTGTTCATTTGTTGATCTCACGTTTCCAAACTGCCCGAACCAGGGATTGAACTCACAACCACTATCTCATCAAATTTACAAACCAAGGCTTTTTACCACGAGGTCAATTTCTGGAGTAAACTTAGAACTTTAAACCTAACTTTCACTGCTGATTAGGCTGCCACAGCCACTGCAACAAAGTTGAGGACAACAGTCCGAATATAAATAGAATAAATAAACTCCTCATGCCAGAAATTTAGACATAAATCATTATCATCTACAATATTCTTGCCCTCAATATGCCCTGTGAGGGTGTTGTGGTAAACCCTCCTACAATAGAATGAACTCTTCCTCCTCTCATAAATACTAACTTCGAGACTTCCTAGGGGGGAGTCGTAGGGTAGCGGAGAAGCAGTGTTAACCTACCGTTCGGACATACACCTCTAACTGCTTATTACTAACACTATTGCTTTCTATATATCTATTATTTCAATACATTTGTTCAACCCACCTTCGTTTCCTTGTTTTAATTTTCTGGCCTCTAAACAGGCCACAACAGAAGGTTAGCTTTTCCAAGTTCCACTTTCTAATTACTTGTCTAGGGAATTTCAGCTGTCACTTCCTGATTTTAAGTATAGATGTTCTTTTTGTTAACATTATCCTTAAAACTCTCTGGTCCCTTCAGTAGAATTCTCAGTAGCCTTCTGTAGAACCACATTATTGCTAGCTTCGGTTTTCTCTATATTGACAGGAAGATTTTCCAGCATACATTGCCATGTAAGAGAATGGTTATCAGTAATTACAAGCTCTTTTCTTTGTTTCAAACGAAACGTTTTTGTTTGTCAGCCCTTTGGTTAGCTTTTGGAACGCATAGATAACAAACACGGATTTCATCAGACATCCTGCGGAGAAGTCATAGAAAATTAAAGCCAAACTCCATCTATATAATGCTAAATAAGAGCTCTTCCCCAATCCGATAACCACACTGAAAGGGAAACGATTTGAATCGCGAGAAGAAATTATAAGAAAATTCGATGGCGAAGCTCTATAGATATTCCAGAGAAGACGTTCCAGAAAAGACGTTCCAGGGGTTTTACCAGAATTGGCAGAACCACAGGGAGACGTTTGTAAACTCCCAAAGGGGGTTGTTTTGAAGGTGATTAAAGCAAATTTGTGAAATATATAATTTTTTTTTATTACCAAATATAGGATACTTTTTGAACGCACCCCGTAAATATTTTTCTTCCAGTTTTGAACGATATCAACGATATTGTGATGTTTTAAACAAAAAACACATTATTTTTTGTTTTGTCTGCATTCAAGATGTTTCGTTTTGTTAGCATTCAAGATGTTTTGTTTTGTTTGCATTCAAAATGTTTTGTTTTATTTGCATTCAAGATGGTATATTTGTTCGCCTTCACACGATATCTTTAACACATCGGACAGCAGGTAGACATATTGTTCAGCTTGCTTTAACCCTGAGTATAATCGGACATTTACATACGCCACTGCAAGGAACTTATCTTTCTGCATCGTTAATCCAAATTCTGATGGGATCCATCCGCCGTGGATGTCGCTCGAATATTCTATGAACAGATAAAAATGCACGAAAATATCCATGTTTTGAATCTGTCATAAGAAAATAAAAATGCATGAAGGCGCGCATATTACATTCGACTGTTATGATTTATTCGGTAGTGGAATAATAGCTTTTCTCTTGACTTTGAATGCTGTCGTTAGATGTTTGTTTTGTTTGTTTTCATTTAGGCTTGTTTTGCGGGGAAAAAAAACCTAAGGACCACGTATATTGCTTCCCTGTGAAACGTGTTATTTGTTATTACAGTCATTTTCAATTTTACGTTTTCTGTGCTTTCCTTCTCTTCTCGTATCTTTAATTCTTTCGGGTCAGCTTTCTTTCGCCATTATTTCCTTTTTCTTATGTTTAGTTTTGGTTTTTTCTCGGCATCATTCTATCTTAACCATTTTTCCTTGTTTCCTTCTCTCCTGCTCTGTTTCGCAATTTATTTCTTTTCGTTATTAAATATTTCTTTATAGTCGTCGCTTTATTTCTTATTTCTCTCTCGACGCCATTCATTCATTCATTGATTTATTCATTCATTCTTTCTTTCAACATCAGTTTATCCGTATCATTATTTCTCATTCATTCATTAATTCTTCCTTTTTATCAGTCTATTAACACTATTTTCTTTGGTTCTTTCTTTCTATATCAACATCTTTCTTTTTTCTTTCTCTCTTTCTTTCTTTCTTTCTTTCTTTCTTTCTTTCTTTCTTTCATAAATTATATCTTTGTGTGTGTTTATTTGTTTCTTTCTTTTCATAGAAATATCTTTCTTTTTCACTCTTTATAATAAATAATATATTTCTTTTCTTTCTTTCTTTCTTTCTTTCTTTCTTTCTTTCTTTCTTTCTTTCTTTCTTTCACAAATTACATCTTGTTTGTTTGTTTCTTTCCATACGAATATCTTACTTTCTTTTTCTCTCTCTATAACAAATTATATATTTCTTTCTTGCTTTTTTCTTTCTTTCTTGCTTTCTTTCACAAATTACATCTTTGTGTGTTTGTTTCTTTCTTTATTTCAATTCCAGTACTTTTCTTTCTTTTTCTCTCTCTATAACAAATTATATATTTCTTTCTTTCTTTCTTTCTTTCTTTCTTTCTTTCTTTCTTTCTTTCTTTCTGTCACAAATTATATCTTTGTGTGTTTGTTTCTTTCTTTATTTCAATGTCAATATCTTTCTTTCTTTTTCTCTCTCTATAACAAATTCTTTCTTTCTATACTAATATTTTTCTTTCTTTCAATAAAAAATTCTTTTTCTTTCTCTCTTTCTTTCTTTCTTTCTTTCTGTCACAAATTATATCTTTGTGTGTTTGATTCTTTCTTTATTTCAATGCCAATATCTTTTTTTCTTTTTCTCTCTCTATAACAAATTATTTCTTTCTTTCTTTCTTTCTTTCTTTCTTTCTATACTAATATTTTTCTTTCTTTCTATAAAAAAAAATTTCTTTCTTTCTATAAAAAAGTTTTCTTTCTTTCTTTCTTTCTTTCTTTCTTTCTCCTTTCTTTGCTCCGATTTCATTCTTTTTTTAAAATGTTTTATTCCTATCTCTGTATTTTTTGTCCATTTCTGATACATTCTTTCCCGAGATTCCTTTCTATTTGCCCTTCGCTATTCTTTATCTCAGTCTTTCCATCTTTCTTTCACTTTCACTTTCAATTTCACTTTCACTGACATATGAAACCTAAGAAAAACAAAGGTATCTCTTGACTGCGATTTGCACGCTGGGAGATTTATTGACATTACTAATAATATATAATATAAATAATTTCGGAATCAGACTCTCTTTTGTAATAGGATATAAATTAATTCATTTTTGAATCAATCAACTTCATTATAGTAAAAGTTCTTGAAGAATAAATGTTTTATCATACTTTCTAAACAGCACTATGACACTCGCAACACACACTCACTAACAAAATGACGCAAAGACACGCATGTACAAATGTTCGATACTACAATACCCATAAACCGTTTTGTATATTCCCCATGTAACCATTTGTAAACATTTGTACCCAGGTAAAGTTCAGTATTTGGAGCGTTTATTCTCCCGAAACAGACAAAATCTGCCAAAGAAAATATTTGCACTAGACACCTCTATTCCGCTCGCTTTGACGTTGGGCTTAGGCATCATAATTTAGATCGTTAGTATAGAGCACCCAGTGAAGATTTTACTATTCAGTAGAAACTGTTCGAGTGAGACAAGCTTGTTAGCCATTACATCAGATCGATGTTCCCAACATTGGCTTAAGTAAGAGATTATAAAGAACAGACATTGTGGTGGCGACTTCTGACAGAAATCTGTGGTCGGCATTCGAGCCCACGTAAAAAGCTAATTTTTCAAGAGCCGATTTAAAAAAATAAACCAGGTAATATGTATGAGTACCAAATCAAGGGTGTCTACTTCAAACAGAGAAATTCATCTATTTGAATCATGTAGTTGCAGACAACGGAAAGGACGACACGTCTATTTGAATGGGCATCGCACAAGCGAAAGCAGTTTTTTTTTTCAGAAAATGACAAGTTAGGTAAAATGACTGTCGCTGGGGTAAGGATCCACGGAAGTATTTGTATCCCAACACATCTGGACGTGATGCATTTTTTGCCGAGCAGTAGCGGAAGTTGTAGGTGTTCATGTAATATTGTTGGCAGAAATGAATTTGGAGCAACTCAGTAATATCAAAGTCCATGTAAAGATTCCACATATTGCTGGTGAATCGTTAGTCCTATTAAAATGGCCGATGAAGATGCTAAGAAGAAGTGGAGTGTTTGTTAGTGGTATAGACAATTTAAAGAATTTATTTACACAGTGGCACAAGTAGTGGACACTGAAAAGTACAAAGAACATATGCAAATGTGGAGAGAGTGCAAAAAATGGTGCAATCAGATCGAAGTGTACGATTGATAGCAGAAGAATGATTGATTCGATTTCTATGGCTTATCCACCTTTTGAAAGTTATTCAAAGCCAGAAACTATTTTTTTTTTTTTTTCTTAATAGCTTACCTTTAAATAATCGAATTAGCGCATATGTTGGGCACCACATTTTTGGTACATGATAACGTGGGTCACTTGATTGTAAAAATAACTTTGATTTATTAATTAATTTTTTACGGTTTATCAACCCATAATAAATTAAAAACAGAAATTTTTTTTTTGATTGTAAGAATTTGTGTGTGTGTGTAGGGGGGATAGATAATAATAGTTTAGTGATATACGTCTTACTAATTAACCCATGTGAGATTAAGGATGTGGATTAATATCTTTCCCAATGGTATTTGCGCGTAAGGGAATGTATGAAGCTGAAAGAGAGTTCGAACATGGCTTTCCAATTAACAATTCCGTGTCACTATGCATTACACCAACCGCACATCCAAGCTTACAGCACCTGGTATTCCTAAGCGGTTACCCATCTAGGTACTAACCAGGCTGGACGTTGCTTAACTTCAGTGATCGTACGGGAACTCGACTCTCCGATTAACAAATTCAAGCCATTATCCATTACACCACCTGCACATCCAAGCTTGCAGCACCTGGTATTCCTAAGCGGTTACCCATCTAGGTACTGACCAGGCTGGACGTTGCTTAACTTCAGTGATCGTACAGGAACTCGACTCTCCGATTAACAAATTCAAGCCATTATCCATTACACCACCTGCACATCCAAGCTTGCAGCACCTGGTATTCCTAAGTGGTTACCCATCTAGGTACTGACCAGGCTGGACGTTGCTTAACTTCAGTGATCGTACGGGAACTCGACTCTCCGATTAACAAATTCAAGCCATTATCCATTACACCACCTGCACATCCAAGCTTGCAGCACCTGTTATTCCTAAGTGGTTACCCATCTAGGTACTGACCAGGCTAGACGTTGCTTAACTTCAGTGATCGTACGGGAACTCGACTCTCCGATTAACAAATTCAAGCCATTATCCATTACACCACCTGCACATCCAAGTTTACAGCACCTGGTATTCCTAAGCGGTTACCCATCTTGGTACTGACCAGGCTGGACGTTGCTTCGGTGTAAGTACGGGAAACGGTGTTTCAACGTGATGTGTCCGTACACCTGAAAGGCGGAGAACTGAATATTTGTGGTTAAGCATTACGTATTCCAAAAACTGGGCAGTAGTTTACGAGAAAGGAGGATTTCTTTGGTAACAAAGTGTTATGGTCCGGTTCCTTGTACCACGGTGATAGTCCAAGATAAAACCAATAAAGAAGAACTCGAAGGCGGATATGGAATAACACAGATATATTACAAACAGGAATATATACAGGGAAGTAGAAAGTGTTAGTACAAACAATCAGGTTTAGTAGTAATTGTCTGAACGCGACTCTGTTTCGGACTGCCTTTGACTCGACTGACTGATTCGCTCTCTCTGACTGAGTGACAGACTCCTGACGAACCTCACTCCAGTCTTCAGGCTGAACAGTATTTAGTCACCCCTCGCGGGCATCATGTGGCAAAAGGCCGGTTTAAAGTGGTATCTCCGAGCCGGTGGGCTCGGCCAAAAATATGCCCTTTGAACCCGTATAAACGGGTTCAGGGTAGGTTTACCTCCCCGAAAGAGACTCCGTCCTTCGGCGTAGCCTCGTTCGGGTTCCTCCCCGCTCGAAGGCAGGGAGTTCAACCGATCAGCCAATCAGCCGGTCGCCCGACTTCGGACTGAACTCCCTGCTTCCTCTTGAGGCGCAGTATTTATTACGTATGGAATAGTCCATTATGTTATTATGGGTAAGGTCCCATAACACAAAGAAAAGTGTACTGAGCTGCTACGGGACATCTGACCTTCTTTACAGCGGTAAATGTTGGATGAAGAAGAGACTCGAGGTAACGGAGTTTTGGTTCTACAGAAAGATGCTAAGGATAACATGGACCGAGCGTGTGAGCAACGATGAGATTTTGGAGAGGATGCAAACAAGGAAGCAGCTTATACGTGACACCAGGAAGAGGCAGCTGAAATTCCAGGGACACGTAATGAGAAAGGAAAGCTTGGAGAATCTGATACTCACAGGTCGAATACAGGGAAAGCGAGACAAGGGAAAGCAACGCATGACATATCTAGCGGGCTTAAGCCATGGATGACAGAATATGGACGGGGGGAAGTAGCAAAGGGAGAAAACTTATTGAGAGCTACAAGGGATAGGGGAGAAGTGGAGAGCCATGATCGTCTATGAAGGGACACGGCGCATTTAAAGAAAAAAGTTCAGACGATTCTATCAAAATATTTGGGCATAGGAAAAAAGGATTTGTTAGGAATTAGCATTTTCAGACGAAGGGACCCATAACAAAAATGGACCCCGTCAATTTTATTCACAAGGGCTGTTGTTTTTTGATAATTTCCGAGATCGAAACAGAGTATCAAAGAAAAAAAAAAGGATTTACTGACAACAAAAAGTGACAACATTTTCAGACGGTATCCCAGAAAAGCAGTTTTAAAATGTTTCAAGCAATGTCATCATCATCCCTTTGAAAGGTATAGCTCCAAAAAATCAAAAATAATTTGAAGGTGACAGTAATCAATTATGACCACGTAAGCAAAATTTGTTTTTTTACTCAATGTCATTCACTTACGGCCACATTGAAATACGGATTCCTGTACGATCACCAAAGCTGACACTGGTCAGTACCTAGACGGGTAACCGCTTGAGAATACCAGGGTCTGTAAGCTTGGATGTGCAGGTGGTGTAATGGCTCTGAATATTTAATCGGTTCCAATTCCTATAGTGTTCGTTAGATTCTAGTTCTAAACACCGACGGGGAAAGGTATGAATCTGCATCGTTTTCATCCCACAGTTAATGGCTAATTAGTAAGACTTTTGTCAGTAAAACGATTCATATCGAAAAAAAATCTTACAATGTAAATATATTTTCAGGAATTAAATAAGACGCAAAAAGATTTATAAGGTGGAATTTAAAAAAAGAAGAATGGAAACGAAGCAAAGAATAAAAAACGATATGGCATTGAAAGAAAGAAAGAAAGAAAGAAAGAAAGAAAAGAAAGAAAGAAAGAAAGAAAGAAAGAAAGAAAAAGAAAGATGTTGGTATGGAAAGAAAGAAAGAAAGAAAGAAAGAAAGAAAGGAAAAAGTAAGAAAGAAAGATATAAAAAATTATAGGCAAAGAAAGAAAGAAAGAAAGAAAAAAAAAAGATGTTGGTATGGAAAGAATGAAAGAAAAGAAAGAAAGAAAGAAAGAAAGAAAGAAAGAAAAAAGAAATATTATTTTATAGAGAGAAAAAAGAAAGAAAAGAAAGGCATGGAAATAAAAAAAACACAAAAAGATATAATTTGTGAAAGAAAGAAAGAAAGAAAGAAAGAAAGAAAGAAAGAAAGAAAGAAAGAAAAAGAAAGAAAGAAAGATGTTGTAAAAAGAAAGAAAAAAGAAAGAAAAAAGAAAGA